TTTTTAAAAACGGTTAGTACAGACAGAGAAATATTATGACGATGTGAGACAGAGCAGGTGCCAGTTGAAGTTATTTACTGTCTGCGAGTTTTAAAAACAAGACACTTCGTTCCAATAACTCGTCTCTGATTGTCTCTGACTTTCGACTGACATGCAGTCCACTACCTTCATTCAGACAGAAGACTAAATGCACACTTACTTCATAAATAGACATTTAACTGTATGATCAAAATCTGATGAGGTTTAAAAATCATTAATACTGTTTCACAGTTGATTTAAATGAGTGGTTCACTTCAACATTTAGAAATGATATGAACTAAAAATACTTTTTGATTATCAAGATATTGTAAAATAGTAATGATAATGTAAAAAGAAGTGTGTTCTTTCAATTGATTAATTCAGGATACAATTAAATAGTCTCTTGATGAGATTATTTGTATTTCTGGATTCAAATCAATGAAATAGCAGTTCCTGTCCCCTGAAGGTCTTCAGAGACAGATTGTTGTCGGAGGCCTAGTTCACTACAAGTATAATAAATAAAGTCCAGTTGTTTTTGTCTTGAACTTTTTTGAATTTGTCATTATAGCCACTTTTACCTATTACATGATGCCACAGCCTGCCTTACTACTACTACTACCACTACCACTACTACTACTATACTACTACTAAAACTACCACTACTACTATTACTCTGCTGCCATCTAGTGGCTGAAAATAGTACTGTTAATTTTCTTTCGGTCAGAATGAATGAACATGGTCATATCTCAGCCAAAACTTAGTTTATAAAAATGGTTAAAAAAATCCATAAATACGTCGCTTCGGCCTATAAATCGCAGGGCATGTAAATTATGAGAAAAAAAAAACACAATTTATAGGCTGAAAAATTCTATATTTAGATCAAGAGTATTAAATAAAATAAAGTGATGGAGAGCTGAGGAAAAGTGATGTGGATGGAATTAAAAGAGGAGTGAGCTGAAATCGAAGGCAAAAACGGAATGTGATTAAAAATGGTGAACTTGAACGCTGGCGACATCATTACTGCCAACAGAAGCAGCAATCATGAGCTGGTTGATCGCCTGGCTTTGGGAAGAATCTGTAGCACACAAACTCAACATGTACAACCATGAAACCTGTCAACAATTGTGCTGGATTTATTCCACTGTGTGGATTTAGGCTTCAGTCTGGATGTAATTCTGTTGGAGCAAAATGTTCTCGCTTTATCTTACTTACTCAAAAGGAGCCACGCCCAACAGCAGGAGAAGATTTTTAACTGGTATTTACTTGCAATGTCCGATTTTCAGGACAGGTTACACAGATATACAGGAAGTACGCACACAGTAACCCTAATCTGCCACGAGCCGTCTGTGCAGCTCGTTCTTATTCTTTTATCAGTTCAGCTGAGCTCACAGACTCAGAAGTGTCTTTGGAGCGACAGCTGCATGTTTGCAGCCTCTGCCAGCTCTCTCTGCTAACCCAAACATATGATTCATGGGCAGAGTTAACATTCTCAGCCATAATAGTCAAAAACATCTATAACCTTTGACCAAAAATAATCTAACATATTATATACATCCCGCTTAGAAAATATGGAGCTTATTCAGGCTGGACAG